AAACGTTAATGATATTCTCTATTACATTACATTTACATACATTAAAGCTGCACTTTTACGTGTATACGAATACACATCTAACATAAGTATGTACAGTGACGTTACGACCCCGGGCATTTAACCCGCTCGAAGCTACTTAGGCCCGATTTTTCCTGATTCGACGTTCATTTTATCTGGTCGTTGACTTCGATTCAATCGTTTATACACACCGTTCTTTTATTCTTCGAGCGACTTTTTCTCTGTTGAAAAATCATTTCATCCGGTTCGAAATAGTGTCAGGTTCGAATGTCTCGTTTTAAATAGATTTGTCTGTGTGGATCAATGCGATCTTCATTTATTTCATCGTCTCTAGTTTTTTTTAAGCAAACAAAAATTCTGTGGTTACACGTTGCGGAGTAAGTAACGGTATGTTAGAAGGTTTAAATTAATTATTTTTTCAGAAAATTATAAAAGTACATTGAAAATTGTGTAAATGCACTTCCTTATAAAGATTAACTACCACATTAGTTATTGTGTTCAAGATTATAAATACAATTCTTAGTATCTCAATTAAGCTTACATTTTTTCTTATAATGAAAATTGCAAATAATACTGAAAGAAAATGATTAATGTTTATTAAAAGGTAATTAAGAAATCTATATAATCAAATTTAACTCATGCTTCTAATGCTCCATGATGGTTTAATGCATCGTGTATTGTTTGCCACATATAATTATTTACAGCAACATATTTTGTCAATGATATAATTCATTAAGAGTTTTTGAAGTTGTTAAATTCAGAAAAATTGCACCGGAAAAACTTTCTTTCTGCTAGTATTTATAGAGTTATCAAAGTAATTATTACTTAGAAAAAGGCATTTTATCCAGGAATTAGACATATAATAAATTAAATTGAAAACACAAACCATACTTTTTTTTATAAAATTCTACAATTTAACGCCTTAAATATTTTGTTGCACTTAAGATCGTGATTGAGAATCGTAACTTACTGTCAGTTAAAGGTTACTGTCATTTAAGAGAGCTACAAACACAGAAATATTACAGTATATTCATTTCCTGATTATCACGCTATTCTTGTCGATTAAATTGAAGACTTTTGCAGGATCGTCAACATGAAATTGTTTTGCAAATTGAATCGAAGCAGCGATAAATTGCATTTTACGATTCCCTGCAGCATACGAGGGTGAAACTCACAATCAATAGATGAATCATTTCGTAGAAATCGGGCCTTAGAAAAGATGTAACTTTTGGTCGTTTACCTAAGTGTCTAGCTGGTCGGAGTATCAAGGAAGCGAGTGGAAGCTTTCTTCTGCGCGAAAAATCCGCTTCATTCGCGCGTGTGCTTTGAGAATAGGGGGCTTGGTATTACGCGAAGACTTTCAACTTCATCTCTACGAACTATATTTCGAGAAGATAATCGAAGTACGATCTAATTTAAGATTTTCATATAATTTTAATTCGGATGCTATAGTTAAGAGCATTTAATGAATTGTAAAGTACCCAGTCAGCCAAACCTGCAAAGCCATATTTTATCCGATGTCTTATAAAGTTGTGGTTACAAGTTTTATGCAAGATTTGCTATAAACACATTGTGCCCACATTGGCAGCAACATCGGCACCAAATTGGCAGCAACATATGCAGCAAATTAGTTCACGCAAACCTTGTTCTGGTTTTGCCCTCAATTTGACATAGGTCATGTTGCAAGCATTTCTGCCAATTTGCTTTCACATTTTGTCAGCTGACGTTGTCTGCAAAACCCAAGTCAAATGCGGAAACAGATGGCTATGGTTTTTTAGACAACTTCTGTCATTTATTGCTGGCAATTTGCTCGAAACTTGTACACAACTATGTAGTTATCAGGGTATATACATACAGTAAAAGATTAAGAAAATTATTGTATACAAATAATTACTTTGCGTAAGCATACAATGGCGATAAAGAGAAGTTGCAAAATATATCAACTGTTCTGGTATTAAGAACAATTATTCGGTATACTTTAATTGTAATATTACAGTAATTATACTTCAATTAAATAAACATTTTTGATCACTGAAATTATTTAATATTATACGTATTTTGAAACAAGACAAATATTTTTAACATTTTCAATACAAAGAATGTTTCACATCTTCTAGAAAACAAATTGATTTGCCTATGTAGAGCGTAAAATAAGCAACAGATTTGAGTAACTGAATTATTGAAATAAAATACATATTTTTTCATTATAATATGTATGTACTTTTATTAATTCACACGATGTTATTATATCTTTACAACGAATTATCTATCGTTACAAGACATACTACGCTGTCCGATTTAAAATTGAAAGTTTTCTTTTTGGCATTCATCGAGTTCAATGGACATTCCGTTATAAGATGAAAGTCTTCGTTGCTATAGAAAGATGTATGCTCGTAATTACAGACTAATTGTAAGAAAAGACAGGTACGGATAAAGACAGTGTTCCAGTGGTGGAACACTATGGAAATCCTTGTCGACATTAATATAGTGTCCTTTCACTCGCTAGCACTTCATCAAGAACGGACAATTGTGCACTAAGTACGTTTACATTTCCTCGTGCTGGTGCGTGCTCGATTTTTCTTCTGTTCTGCCTAGTGCAGATGGTAACTTTAGGCTACGTTTATGTTCGGGAGCTCGACAAACTATTCCTACATTTTAATAATATTTACGCGAATGGATGAACTAAAGCTACTCGAAGTGGCAAAACAAGCTGAGAAATTAACGCCTTAGCGACGAACATTCTTGTTTTGAACGCGTTTCAACTGATCCAGATATAGTATAGATTCATCTGTACATTCTGTAGTCAGTATTTTTTAGAATATACAGTCTCTATTATAATTTTACATAATAAGGTATTAAAACATTTAGTTTAATTATTAAAATTGAAGACGTGTGTGTAAATCAATCTCTAAGTTCAGTATGCTGCATGACGTACCCATACATGACATATTTCGATTAAGATTTTTGTAATCTTGTGCTCTTCTAGAATCGTTCTTTTAGACTATCTATTCTTTAACAAAATCGTACTGCTTCAGAAACTAACAAATTGTATAACCTTTAAGAAGCTGTTTTATTTAAATTCAGACAAATTAACTACACATATTGTTACTTATCATTGGACCAGATATGAACTTAAACTGTATTATTAAAAAAAAATACCATATATTGTAAACTCAGGTCTATTTTTAGACATGTAGTGCACGAATTGAAAGATGCTTTATTGATCTAGGTACGAGACGAAGGAAAGTGAATCACATTTATGTACTCTACATTCATTTGAAAAACGGTTGACTGTAAGCATGTTATCCCATTTGATTGCCCAATAAAAATCAATTATTTGTCTTCATATGAAAATATCGAAAAATCTGTACTATAATTATTTAAAACTCCTTAAGGATATGCTGGCGGTATAAACGTAAGTAAATCCGGATATCTACTGGTACATTGACGACTTCGCGACGTCGCGTCTTTGCCGTCAATTATGAATGAAATGTCCACGTCGTAGTCAAGGCGTTCATTTCGGAGCTGATTACGAATAATTGGAAAACGTTTCTTTACGCCTGTTAAGACATTACCATAGCGGTTTTAAAAACTTTTAAAACGTTCCCAAAAAGTACAGAGGATGTTACTTTTACATATCCGGAAAACGTTCTGAGAATGTTGACACAGGATGTCCTCAGGACGTTCCATTTTGTAAATAGGGCCTTCCTAGGACATTTAAAGGTCTTAAGGAGGGCGTAGGAGGGACATCTGGACCTTTTCGGGACATTCTCTGCATGTACCGAACGTCCGGAACGTACGTTCTCCGGGCGTACATATGACGTTTTTGTGCTATTTAGGTTTTGTACACGATGTCTGGGATTTTGTTCAAATTGTAATATGTTATACTTCATGTGAAAGGAGGGCGATTTGAGTCATTATTTTGCTGGTTTCGGACTTATTTAAAAAATACTGACCCTCAAAGTTGGCAATTTTCACCGATTTTTACGAAAAAGACTTTTAAACTCAAGTTTGACATAGATTTCCAAGGTCAAATTTCTTTGTGATACCTCTTCTTGATTTTTTCCCGATTCTGCAACATCTTAGCTTTAACCTCGAAAAACATTCATCCCTCTGTCTTATTTCTATCAGCAATTCTACGGTTTTAACACAAAAATGATCAAATCGTTCCATTGCGCGCCACGGCACCTGCGTCGACCTGATGCGACTTTAATTGTAGAGTGTCCGCGAATAAAAAAACTGGATTTTAAAGAAAAAGATCAGAGAATACGGGCATATTTTTGTTCAAATTTTTAAACTTGTGACCTCGAGGTCGAATTTATAAAATAAAAATGTTTTTAATATTCTTGCATTACAAAAATAACTTTCCGTACGAAACAAAAAATTCATTGCAGAGAACGTTCATTTACGATCAAAACGAAAGAAGAATCAGGTTCTTATTTTTAGTAGTTACTGAGATAAAAATTTTTTTGTGATGGTAGTTTTCGTAAAACAGTAAAAATTGCTAACTGCAAGAATTTGTATTTTATAAACAATTCCGAAACCTGCACAGTGTTGACTTACCTCCGTCCCCCTCCCTACTTTCATATGAAATATAACATATTTCAATTTGAACAAAGTCCCGAACATTGTATACAAAAGTGATCCGCTTGGCGTGGAATGATCCGTACACACATCGATTCAAATGGTCGAGCGATGAAAAGTCGGGCGAAATTGTAATAACGAGATCAATGGAACGTCACACGATGTAATAGGATAGTGGTAAACAAACGGTATAAATAAGTCGTGGTTGTAGTTTCTTAATCGTATGCCTGACCTTCGACGTTCGCCCGAGCGTCGAGAGGAAACGGTATATTATTATTTCGAGACGCGCGATACGTTTTTTTGTATCACTGTACTGACCACCAACGTGATCACGAGCCTCCTCGTAGCCTAAAATTACGTAATATGTTCCTGAAAAACAGTACGGCTCGCGAAATTTTTCATTCTTCGGGCACTGCTTCTTGCGTCGTGTCACCGTCATTGCGATTCTCGTTCTCTTTTTGTTCTTGTTCCTTTTGTGCTCTCGCTTCGGCGTCTGTGGGCAAACGAGGATGATGTTTTTATTAGTATTATAAAATAGCTATTTGTTCAGAATAATTCTGCTCAGTTTTAACCCGTTAACAGCTGTTGTTGCGTAAACGCAACATTAAATTTTAATTGTTGTTAATTGGGAAAAGGCAATATTTTACTTTGTAGCTGTCATGATTGTGTTCCTAATTTTGTCTGCCAATAAAGAATTAATTTCTTTATGTTTATAAATTGTTCAATTGATCGTAATTATTGTCATCTAACTCGGTTACTTTATTTTGCGTTCTTTTGTTTTTATTATTCCTTCACGAAAAAATAATTGAAATTGGTGTATATAGTTTTGAAAAAAAGAAAACTATTTTGGAAAGTTTTAAGACGTTGATATATTTAACGTAACGGTCAAGAAGAGTTTAAAGTCGATATAATTTTGGCAGTGAGTTCGTCTAAACTGTACCACATTAAGGTTTGTCAAACATCTAAAGAAGTATGGGACAAGTTAGAAGGTATTTACGAGTCTAAAGGTCCAGCTCGAAAAGCTATCTGGCTGATGTAATTAATATTTAACAAAATGAGTGAAAATGAAAGTATGGCTAAACTTATGTATGTAAATAGGATAAAATACAGTACATTAGATATCTTTAAATAACGAAAATTGGACTTCCACGGCTTTAAAAAACAATGACTTGTATCAAGATAAAAATATGACAAAAAGGTGTAGTTTCAGATGAACAGGAATAGAATCTTACAATGGATCAAATGTGATCCACCTCCGTTTTTCGCCCATCAGACATTTCGCTGTTAGACGGTCACAATTTTCTTTCAGTCTGACATTTATTTCGTTTTCGACAAATTATTTTGGAAAATGACGATATTTCATAAATACCCCGAACAGCTTGCTCCTTCCAGATCCTCTTGTTCTCCGCTAGGCAAGGGATCCAGGGCTTTCCAATCTTGAATCTTCTGGCCTCTGCGCCCGAACCTGCCACATTATTCGTCATTTGAATACAGCCCACGTTGTCCGCAATGAAACGTATTAAACCATTACGCAGATAAGCTCACCGTTGTTGGACTCATCCACGCTCTCCTTGACATTCAGCGGAGTGAGAACCGTCTCCAACATGTCGCTGCACACCTGCATGCTGGGTTCGACGATAAATTCTATGAACCCTATTTGCGATTCCGCCACCAAGGTATTGTTACGATCGCACAACGGGGAGAACGGCAATCCGAGTGTCCTTTCCTTGTCTCCTTGCCGGAAGAACTCTTCCAGGAGCTGCATGGTCCATCTGCATATCAGTCAACGAGATCATGTTTTTCAACGGTGTACCTTGAACCGTACTTTAGTAAATTACTAAATTGACGTTTAGTAAAATGTAGACGTGTCGAAGAAAAAAAAACAATGTTCTGAAAGAAAATAATTGCACAGAAGCCGGGAAACTTTCATTTTAATATGAATAAATTATTTAGACCTAAAATCGAAGAGATATATTGTGATGTACTGTATCGTTTCATGAATAAATTGTCGGAATCAGCCGTATTAGGTGTTTTACATCAAATATAGTATTATTGAAAGATTATTCTAGGTCTTTTGTAGCATTTTTAACTCTTAACCCTCCAAGCACGGTCCCTGGGTCACACGGTCTCGAGAGCGACACGCACGCAGTGACGGAGCTGTCGTGTAAATCGCATAGCGACCGATGTTTGTTTACATGCGAACGACCGGGCCAAGACGCCGCAGAAGTATTGAAAAATAAATATAATTTGTTTTATAACTCACGAGTTTTGTATTCTAGGTAGTGTAATAAGAATCACGAAAATACAAATGTAATGTGGAACCAGCTAATCATTACAATATATCATTATATTTACGGTGGCTCGAGCTCGAGCAACCGCCACTGTGTAGTAATTTCGGTGAGGGTTCGAGCTCGAGCCATACTGGAATTGTGTTAGTACAGTGTCGGTGAGGGCCTCGAGCTCGAGCCTCGCCGTCGCTGTGCAGTAGTAGAGTATCGGTGTGGGGTCAGAAATGACATAGGGACCGGTGACCATGTTCCGTGCTCGGAGGGTTAACTGGTAAGGTGGTATTCTTATTACTTATTCCACAAATCTCATTATCTAATTACTATACAACTAGTTGTTTTGCATTCTCATGTAAGAAAACATCGGATATAAACAAATATCTCTTTAAGTAGCTATTGAGTAAAAAAATATATCCTGAAAATATTTAAGAGGTTCCTCAGACCCCACCCTCATCAGTTAAAGCTTACCCAGACTCAGGTATTAAAACTATTAATTTATACATTGGATATTTTAAATTGGCAAGGAATTAGACATTTGGAAATGTTTTTATTTGTTTCTGGTTGTGGGTGAATGGTAACTTTATGATTAATGGAGATAAGTAGAAAATACATGTGCATGTTTTGGTATACATTTATACAATACGTCGGTACAGGAATGAATCAAGTGGACATTAGAATTAAGCATAATTGAAATGTAATAGTAAGTGTACTATAATAGTAAAAAGATTGAATAAATGTGCAATGGAGGTATTAAATTTTAGACCTTTAGACTGATCAGTGTAGCATATTCCACGTCATAAAAATTAAAAGGATCATTTGACGCAGAATTAAAACAATCAAAACTGAACAATGGAGCAAAACTGTTATGATACTATCAGTTTGATAAATTATAATTTAAATAATTTGTATAAACAGCATGCATATATTACAAGTAGCAGAATTAAATTTACGATATTAAACTGTTCGTAACCTGAAGAACGGGTCGGCCTGACATAAACGAATTTTTTCCTCTTACAATTAGTAATGACGACGATAAAATGTCAATTACAGAGTCGAATGAGGGAAACCAGAAAGAAGTAAAAATGTTTTTGTGAATAACAATGAAAAAGCACAGCGGAGAATTGCTGAAGGGTACTGAATGGACTTTAAGTAGCCTTTAAATGAAAGGAGTGGCTTAATTACGGATCTTTTAAACTCGCTGGAAGGTATTTAGGGAAAGCTTTCATGTAAACGTTAAGCGACGATCTTTTATGGTATTCAAGCTTCTACGTTAGGACTTGAATATTTAATTATGAAACCAATTAACGATAGGCTAATTATTCTAATAGCTTTTTAGTTAGTCATCATGTTGTATAAGTAAATAAAATATAATTTTAGTTTTTTCTCTACCTGACAAAATTATTAACTATAAGAACGTAGAAACGGAAAGCTCCAATAATATCCAACATATGAAATAAATGACGCTGAAGCTTTCGATATCAAAACTGTAAATACCTATACATATAGCTAGCCACAATGATACTACATAGACATAATATATTTTTTAATGGATCTCATTTTTGTTGTAATTTATCAAAATATTATACTTCCAGTGTTTATTATAAGAGCCATTAAAGTTATAACCATTTCTTCCAAAAAAGAAGGGCAGAAACTTTTATAGAAAGAAATTATTAAACATTTTGTAAATCGTTAGTAGTACAATGATGAGAAAAGAGGATCTGTGTAACCATAGCATCAGAAATCATGTTTTTGAATGCTGTCACAGATAATTTATTTACTTATTACATTTGTTATTATATAATTTTTGTTTAGTTTCAATGATTGCAATGAATATTTTACCTGTGATGGAGGTCCCATCTTTTCGCTGGATGTGAGATGTCGCAACAATGGAGGACGAGACTGACTGCTTTGCTTTTGTCGACGCTAGGCTCCGCCAGGCTCAGGATGTTCTTCATGTTTTTCAATTGTTGGAAATGGAAGCTCATGTCAGTCGCAAGAACCATATCGATGACCAGCGAACGAAATTCTCTGAACTCCTCTCTTGACAGGTTTTGCAATATGTTGCACTCGTCCTCTTTCAATATTCTGAAAAAGTCTCGAGTGAATGACGTGCCTTACCATCGATACTCTTTAGCTGCAGGATGTTACATTATTCTTCTCTAGATAAGAAAAATAGAGGTATGTATAAAAACTATTCATTAATAATTTAATCGTTTATCAATGTTTCAACTTTCACCCATACTATCTAATTGTTTAAAATATTTACATTTACGTTTCCTACAGCTAAAGGATCAGAGAACAAAATATAAAATATAGTTCCAATTTTAATTTCCCCTGAAAGCTCGGTTTATTTGTTTAAGAATAATACGTTAACCTGTGGACTGGCCTTGTGTTCGCTTGATATCGGAGCTGATATTTATAAAAGCTTTTATAAAATATTTGCTTGAAATAAATGAAATTGTCTGCTGCACAATACAGCAGAATGTTTGAATTCAAATGAACTTTTTATAGAGCAGTGTTTCAGTTATATGTAAAAGTGAATTCAAAAGCTTGTGTTGTGTAGTATTCAACATGACTATGAACCTTGGGATAATATATGTGAATGTGCAAATGTCGTTACAACAAAAACTTCAATCATAATTAAGGAAATACTTTAGTTATTTGTAACCTATATGTATATTATAGTGATAGGACTGATCCTATACATATTACATATACAGAAAAGCATCGAAATCTTGGATACTCGGTATTAACTATCAATACTGGTGCCTTTTGGAACGATACCAAACAATACCAATTCTGCAGCAACAATATTTTCATCATGTGTGGCATCAAAATTTTCGTGAATTGTGAAATGTGCATTGATACTTTCATGAACTATCAAACCGGCACCGATATTTTCGTAGAAGTACCAAACAGATATCGAGATTTTCGTAAAAGTAACGAAAGGGTATGGATTCTATTTGATACCTACATCTTTGATATTACTTTGTACCAGAATTGAGCGGAATTTTATTCGAATAATTTACAGTGAAAAGCAGTATCTGAGGGTTTCGTTCTGAGCTTTAAACATGTCGATTCATTCATAAAGAAGTTTTATTTTATTATAAAAATTGAAGTTTCCACGTTTAAACAATTAAAAATGACGAAATACTTTTTTTACCTTTTATTCGTTCTTCGAAACTTTTTATCTAGATAATGAGTTTGCTCATCCCCGCTTTGTACCTAATCAAAATTTCCGGCCAGGAATCGATAGCGTCAATGCGGTATCAGTCCCGACATTAATAAATATATAATTTTACCCAACATAATAATATACATAACAATATTGTCTAATATATAATCTAATATTACCTATATGTATATATATGTGTGAAGCGGGTACATTGGGACACACTTTGATTTATACGTTAAAATGTGTTGCTGATGCTCAGGAACCTCGGTCAAAAAGTCAATTTAAAAAAAAATTTAGTTCATAAATTATGTTAATAATTTATGTACATTAACTTATGTACATAAAGCATAGATTGGGGACACACATATATTAGGTATTATTTGAGACCATGTACTCGAAAATATTTTAAACATATACGAAGAAAATTTTTCAACTGACCCCAAAATATGCGGTTAATTTTTAGGTGTTTTATATATTATTTGTTTTTTTTTTGAGGTCATGCCATATATATGAAATGCATACTTCGAGATCTATATAGATATAGGTAAGTATGTACATACATATATGTATATTATAACATACAACATACAACACGACCTTTCGATTCGTTTTCGAACGTACCGGAAGCTCGCCGAGATGTGGTGATTTTCCAGTACAGCCCGGTCATTGTAGAGAAGCGCTGTATCGCTGCCGGACATTACGTGGAAATTGTTTGTGGTCCCAGTGTGCTCGTAGTCGTGAATAATGGCCGCCACCAGGGTGGCGAAAATCTCTAGGTCGGTCAGCCAATTCTGCAAGTTAACTCATTAGTCCCAAACAGTGAAATAAGGAGATTTTTACACATAATTATTTATTACTTATAAAAAGTGTATTTCGTTAGAGGAAGAATATAAATGCTTTAAAAAAAGTTTTTTGGATCGGTACTTTTTGTATAAGAACATGTTCCGTTTATGCAACTTTGTACCATTTATTATTGAAAAAGGTAAACATAACTTATACACGTTGAACCACGAAACGTGATCAGCTTAGATTATTCTACTGCTAGCTGTTCGATCGAACTTTGCTTGGCTAGTGTAACATGATTCAAGAAGGGCTTTAAGATGATTGTACATATGACATATGAACCGTTTATTTTGAAAATGGTGTAAATCCATTTTTTCTTCTTTCGAGATATTAAAAGGTTAACATTTTAGTCGATTAAAAAATATAAATAAATTGTACTAAGTTTAACAACGTTTCAACGAATTTAGAAATACGTAATTTGATTACATAAATAACTTTTATTTGAATTTAACTAAAATAATATATTCCTTCTGGGTTGTAAATGGACTTACACCACTTTCATAATTATTGAATTGTAAAACTCATTTAATTTTAATAATCAATAATTTAATTTTACTTGAAATACAATGTGTTTTAGTCTGATTTTGTTTATAAAAAAATAATAACAAAAAATAAAATATTGTTTTTTATTCTCAACGTTAAAAATATTTACTTATTGTTAAACTATTTAATGATAAGTTTATCATTATTGCCAGCTTAACCTTAGATACTATTTTTCATTTAGGCTCAATATGTGGAAGTTTTTTTAAATATTCATGATGCACAGGAGGTATATAAGGCAATAACTGCATCGACTGGTTGGTGATAAATCTAAAGTCTTAAATTCCGTGTCCTCCATCGCTGTTTTATATAAAATAGTATATTTTCAGCCAGTCTACTTTTTCTCCATCAGTCCATCATCCATTCCTTTTCCTTTTTTGAACTGCATTTTCTAGATATTTTGTTGAAATGAAATTTTCACGTTTCATTTCATACAAATTAAACTTATTAGTTATTTAATCAATTAATTAATTTAATTTAATTAATTAGTTATTCTAAGGAAAATGGACTTACACTACTTTCAAAACAAACAGTTCATATAAAAATGCACTGTTGTACTAGACACCATACTATAGAATCCCACTACATGGAGAATGATACACCAAATAATTTTCATGACTGAAAAAATTGGTGCATCATAGTGTTGTAAGCACTTAAATTTCTTCAAATTTCAAAACGTTGTAGGATTTAAGTGAAAGAAGAAATAGTGACGAGAAAAATATTAAAAACAGAATTCAATAATGTAAACACACTGAAAATATATTGCGAGTGAAATGTTAACGCAACATTGGGCCCTAATGGGTTAAACGAAGACCTCTGAGTATTTTTCAGCCGTCGTATAATTCACGTGGAACGAGCAATATTCAAGGTGACGACGAACACGTGCGAGAAATCCTGGGATCAACTAAAATTTACTTTCAGCCTTTTTGGTCCCGTCGGGGATTCGTTGGATCACGCGCGCGCGCTGGTTACTTGAACAGTTTGCGCGAGCAGAAGTATAACTGCGGTCGAAACTTTTAAACGAGAAAGTTAAAAGGCCAACGGTATTCTCGTTTTTCGAAACTGGCATCGGTGGAAAGGCTATCGGACTAAACTGTTTTCTCCCCTTAAGTGGGGATCGTCCGGGTTTGAACGGTGTTTGTGGTTGTCGGAATAGTGGGAACTGAGGTAAACTGTGATAATAACTTAATTCGTGAATCGAGGAGATGATTGACATTTCTCTCCTTAGAGAGGTAGACACAAATGTAGCGTGTGATAGTAATACATTGTTATCTGAAGCGATGTTTTTCATTGCGATTAGAAACTTTCATTAAAGATAGTCTTCACTTAATTCATTTGCATGGCAACGTTTTATTTCAAATTCTTATTTCATGATATACATGGTGTCGTATAATTGGTGCTACAAGCGAGTAAAGGGTGATTCTACGTGAAAAAATAAGTCGAAAATATGGAATAAAATTTCTTCAGCCGGGGCTTAGTTTTCGAGAAAATCGAATTTGAATCTGTAACACGTGTATTTGTGCTAGCAATAAATACAAACGGAATCTAATGAGCAGGCGCTTCAGGCAGGTCTTATTCAATTGCATGTGTATCCAGCAGATTTTCAAAGTCGTTCTGTTTGGAAAAGGAAGTTTCAAATGAAAAAATTTTATTGGATACTTTTGACTTATTTTTTTACGTAGAATTACCCCATATCCGACTGTATCACCAGTTACATTGTACACTGTCTATACATTTATTTTTAACGAAACTATGCATACAGATAAAATACTCGAACATATTCGAATCTTAATTTTTTAATAATAAAGATTTACTTTTAGAAGTTGAAGCTACAGAATTCGAAAGACAGAAAAACATTAATTGATATATCTTGACGATAAATAAACGACAAAAAATATGTAATTCGCAAAGTGTCAGATTTTTTTTTAAATTATACATGTAACTACAACCGGCAAAAGCGTGTTTTCTAAATATTTGTTTGAAACGTTATTTTTGTTATTAATTGGAATAACAGAATACGTATACATATACTAGATGGTGAAAAGATGAACGTCAAATATGAAGGGCATACGCTATTTATAAAAACAAAGCAAAACTTCAGATGATCACAGGTAAAAAATTATTTTTCCCGGATTTATGTAATATTTTATTTAGAGTCTGTACTTAGAAACCAATTAATTAGTTTTTCATACGCATAATTATCGCATATTCTAGGGTGTTGTCATTTGTTCAATACATTTCAATAAAATACCTATTAAAATAAAAATTTCATTGTACATATATGAACACATACCCACTTTAAACCGATTATGACTTAATACTTATTTACACAGTCTTTAATGGTTCCTTAATTTCCTTAAGGGAATATAACGGATTCCACAAAAACAGTAAATAAACATTTTTGCGTACAACAAATAATGTACGAATAATTTGAAATATTCAAGATAGATGTCTCACCCTGTCTACATGCATGTCCTTCAACGTTTAAATCAGCTTCGTTCACCAACCAGCATAAACATATACGCTTGCCGAATTTGCACGAAGAATTTCTAGACACCAGGATACACGCTGAGGAAAGCTGGATAACTTGAGGAGGGCGATAGGAGGAGGAACGGTTAAATTTGAGGAGGACTTGAAAGTGAAGGGGAGCCGTTTAGTGAGGCAATCTTGGTGGTTGGTGTTGGGAAGGAAAAGATGGTTAGACGAAATGGGTAAAGAAAAAGAAGATTTCGGGAAGAAAAGAGATACAGGCAAGTCCATGGATGCCTTCCATGTCCGAACCCGAATTTTATCATCTCCAAAACGCGACTTACGTGTATCCTAAACTACTTTCGCCTCACCGGTGTTCGTTACCTGTAGGTTGGACTTTTTTACTGATGGTGAACAGTGATGAAATACTGATAGCTTAAAGAACTACACAGAAGCTATAGAAATGATAAAATTGGAGTTTTGTTTGGAAAGTTGTTCTTTATTGCAGAACTAAAGTTGTTTCTTCTGTACTGGAAGAGAATCATGGTTCAAGAGGTGCAGAGAAATGGTAATGATCGTGTATCATCTATATCCATATCATCCAATCTTAGTAATTTGATGCACGGTGTATTACTGGTCCATAAAATTTTACTTTCGCTGCCATTTGCCGAATTGAATGTTTCTTTGGCAACAGTGTCACCTGTTTCTATCGATAATCCTTCTGCCTGCGATTACTGGCACTATCAAATTCAAACTAACGTCAATCAAATGCCAGTATAAGCTTGATGACATCTTTTTCCGTTTAAAGTTACTGACATTCGTATAAATGTATGGAAACGCTGAACTCCAATAAAAAATAAACGTGTTTGGTGCATTATAACGTAACATATGAGGTTTATGTTAAATAATGTTATTTTAAATTGAAATCTGTGGAAAGTCGCATAACTTATGAGATGACCAACTATAATTGGATTGAAGACCATAGTAGGGATAAATACGATTGCGTAAGTATAACCACAGGCGAGATATAAGAATAGACCTAACATTTTATGGAACTTCGTGTCCCACGAAAATTACGCTGATTCGAGCGCACCTCTCCATAAAAGTTTCCGATTTCAGGAACTATGTTCGATACTGTGATAGCGCACAGCACACAGTCACCCATGACTGCATATAACAATACATACATACACTAGTGCGTCGGTATTGCTAGCAAGGAATGTAATACTGATATGGTACGGGGGCTTTTGACGCCCCCGAAGCATGGGACAGAAAATTACATTGCATGTTACATAGGTCTATTCTTATATCTCGTTTGTGGTATAACGTCAGTAATGTCTAAATATTTAATACAAGTAGGTTATATGTAGTGATGGGTAACCGAACATTTCGAGCTACTCGAAGGAGTATATATTTAATAACATAGAATTCGTATCGCGACATAAAAAAGTAACTTATACGTTATTAAATATAGTCCGATTTATGTCGGGTTTGGACTTATTTTCATCAAGAGAATCTCCTACATTTATTCATAACATTTTTAAGAAAGTACACTGAAAGGAGTAAAAATTTTAATTTTTTTTCATGGGTGATTCGTTCCGTGTGTTACATTGTAACCCGAGGGTTGATTGCCGGTGGCCAGATAACATCCTTCGCCTTCGCGTGCCAGAGCCTCGGGTCTCCGCTGAGATCATAAACCTGTCACCCGAGCTCGTACGAGTAGCTCGAATTGCTCGGTTACCCATCACTACTTATATGTACTCGCGGAACGAATAGAAAATAAAATGTATAGAGTTGTTATTAAAAGAACTTACCATGAGACCTGTTTGACACAAGATGTAGTGCATTGTTTGAGCGACGTCCGCGGCATGGAGATTATTGTGATAGGGATTCCGGTGCCTGCAATAACCCTCCTCGATCCTTCCCAAAAAACACTCCAGCACAGCAGGGGGCACTTTGAATTTGTGGATCATCCCGTATCGGTTGAGTAGATCGTAACCGAGATACTTCACCGGAGTTCCCATTGCGGCCTCGCTTAACGAAAACACGTCGAAGGACCAGTCGTCCAGGGTCTTAAGTAAACATGTAAATTTCATCCTCGTGAGAGTTAAATAGATTTTGGTGCTTCCGTTGAATTCGTTGCGAGATTAATTGTCTTTTGCGAATTGGCTGTCAAGTAGAGTTTCATTTGAAATAATCTGATACCGAAGATTTAAAAGATATTACATCAAAAATTTACAATTTATCTCATACTATTTCGCGTAACTTTCATTAGATTCATCATCAACTGCTTAATGATATACAGGATGTTAATAAATACATATATGGAACACTTTCAGGGGTGAATTCTACGTGCAAAACTAAGACGAAAATCAAGAATGACAAAATTGCGTTCAAGGTTTCATTTTCGAGATATTAATTGTTAATAATACCGGGGAAGTATGTGTAAAATATGTCTGTCACGACGAGTTATTCCACTTTAGAGGTGCGTTATTCTTGATTAAATTGAACTGGATCATCGATCGATCCTGTGTATCAGCTAGGAATGTACTGTTCTAGTATAAGTTGGCTGGTCAGACGTATTTCAAGCATATTTTATCCGTATTTGCAAAATTAATAACTCGGAGACGAACCCTCGAAAGCACGTTCGTCACATTTTATTTTCGTCTTAGTTTGCACGTAGAATTCATCCTGTGAAAGTGTTCTTCATTTTTATTAACACTCTCTGTAATTTACCTAGAACACAGTATACAATGGAACGCAGATTATTCAAGCTACTAGGGAGACAAATCTTTCCTGGCAAGCAGGATTTCGAATAATTGCTTCGGGAGAATCAGAGTGGAAAATATATCATAAAGAGATTATGAACGATTAATTTTGGAAGATTGATGCTTGTGGTGTGAAGGAACATATGGTAAGACTATGTAACAATAATCATACTAATATTAGGTGCACTAATAAGAAATCCACCGTTCCTTTTTTTATAAAACTGATAATATAATACAAATTTTTACAAATATTTCTCTAATATTGTTTTCAAAACGATAGTGATTATTAAAGAACGAAGTCAAATGTCATTGTAATGACATGGGGTTTTGATTCCTTTGAAAATAAACCTTGATCTTGATAAAATATAGCGGATTACTTATTAGTACATCCAGTATTATCCAATGTATTCACAACTTTGCAATTTAATGAAATAGTAATACCTACGCATGAGCTTGACATTGCTTTACCCACGTCTATTATTTGCTCAAACAAGAATCGAAGACTAAACAACATCATCGTTGTGAATAATTTATTATTTACTTCTAACTATTACTGAACGTTGTCGTAATTGCATTATCAATTAAAATGTTGTCAAATTTACTTCAATCCTGCTCAGGAGTAGTATTGTAGATTGCATGTTTTCCTGTACTTCGCCTAATACATAGATGCTATCTTTCAAACTAATTCTTTAGAAAATATTCGTGACTCATTCTGTGTTTCCATAAATCGGTAGTTGGGACAATCTGAATTAGGATAATTGACGTTCCGCTATGCGTGACCACTCAAATTTCGAACTTAACCCGCAAGATCTAATCTACAGTATACATGAAATCTTAATTATTCAGAAAACATGTGTTATATATTCCCAACAAGTATCTAAGGTATCAGAAATTTAAAGGACTAGATAAAGTTACAGGGCCTTCGGTAGGTCATCAATGAATCATGAGGATTATAAACCTCAAGATCGTGTCGGATCTCTTGGGACTTCCATAACCCTCAGTATTGTTGGAATAATATCGCTGGTAATGTGAGATTTCTGAGACGCTGAAATTCTTTTACCATTCTGATACCAATGTAACCCTCTAATGATAAAGTTCATCTAGGCTTTTGTGGGTTCCGGTAATTCTCATTTTCAATGTATGTAATACTTATTACTATAATCTATAAGAAGTTTCATAAATGGGGACTTCAAAATTTGTTGGATTTATTGGTAAATTAACAGTACGACTTTCATTTAGTTTTTCGTGGACTATTTACTATGCAAATTCTATTAGGTTGTTGATGAATGAGAGCATGTTCATTGACGTCAGGTTATCAGTATTGGATTTATAGTACCGTCAATAAGTAAGATTTTGTCAATTGGATTACTTAGGCTAACTGTATTAAATTCTTTAAACTTTAGGCGATGATTATTGTATATCACAATTATTTAGTTGTTAGTTTTGAATTCATTGACGAAGAAATCTGACGTTGCCGATACAGTGTTATGAACGTAACATACTACATATGGGGAGATGTACGCAAATCCTAATAATGAAGGCCTAGCTGTTAACATTATCTGTATGTTATAGCTTCAGTTTCTCAAGTGAAAATACGTTCTTTTTCTGTGTTACCTTTTATTATGTCGTGTCTTGTACTCAGCATCTAATGGCGAATTTAATATGAATTGGCAAAGTATTCATAATTTGCACAGTTTCAAACATTTCATAATTTCAAAAGTTATTAATTTAATTGTCAAGTAACACTTTTTCATCTTTTTACGTTCACAACTCCAGTTCTGACTGACAGGTGAGCATAAAAATTCAATCTGATTTCACATTTATTAAGGTTATAGTCTAAATAGTGTTTCCATATATTACGTTAAATTATTTTTATATCAATGTGTCTTTATCAAATAAATTAAGGCATTGGAAATAAGAAATGTTTAGACACATTACAGTACCACATTTACCTGAAACACATGATGTCGCATTGAAACATTGTAACAAACTCATAGATACAAAACTTTCTCAATGAGATACAATATTGTCATAAAAATCGTCGGTAGATTCTGTTTTGAAACATACAACACGTACATAGGTATAAGACACCTTACCCATAATATTAGATGTATGTATAGTATGGTGCGGCATACTCATGATAAACTTGGGATTTGTCACTGCTTGTGAATAAATTAATATCGCGAACCTCGTTGGAAGATGGTGTAATTGTATATCGTAATATTATGGGACTTGAGTAATTTAACACTTGGTAACACACTTTCATAAATGTAACAAAATATGGAGTATGTGTGAAATATGTAGATGTGTTCAATCGTACTGGTAGATGTGTTCTGGAGTTCTGGTCAATAGTTGAATGTGTTTTATCTGGTGTTGTATGCCTAGTCGCTTGTTACTACAGATCGATTTGTGATTGGTGGAAAATGCAGAATTTTTATTGGTCTGTTTTGTTTCTGGGATTCTTGACAGTCAGCAACCAAATACAATAAAGAACGTTTCTTAGGATAGTGAATGTTTTATTCGTGATATGTTTAGGAATCCCTGTTTGTGACGTTTTATTGGCCGTATATTGACGGCCCAAAACGCGACGATCGCTCTGACTATCGCCTACGTATCTACATTGAAATTTTTTAAGAAATAATAAGGGATTTGATTGATCTCCAGTTTGCAATAACAATGTTTGAAAGATTTAAAACATTGTAACGTACATTTTCTAATACGTGTAGCCTTTCTTAATTTTAAGGAGAGTAAAGTTCGATAATAAATGTTTTAATACATTGTACTACGTCTTTTAGAGTTTTGAGCGTTATATATTAATTTAACCCTTTGCACTCCGAGCAATTTTTAATGTGACCTACCAGCAACTCCGAGTCATTTTTACTATGAGCAACCAGCTACTCCAGAACTATTTAATTTTAACACACAATTATACATGCAATGTAACAGTAGAGGCCCTCATGGAAAAGTGAAAAATATTTAAATTTTTAAATGTATAAAAATGCAAAGTTGCTTCTAGATTTCGTCGCTGTCGCCGTAACCCAAAGAAATATGTCGTAGTCAACTGTTTTCCATAATAATTGTAAATGGCTCAGAGACCGTGAGACTGAGAATTTTTATTCAACACTACCTACATTTTACAAACTAATTCGTAACGATAAGAGCAACTGTAAGAATTACTTTCTTCTCTTAACTATTTTATTAGGTTCAAAATAAAATAGAAAACTCGTTGTGCAAGATAAAAGTTTTGTCTTTTATTGTACTTCACAGAGCCCTATAGGTAATAAATGAATAAAATCCGCATTCTATTTATAACAAAACCCCCTTGAGCCCTGACCTAGTTATAAACCCTGTAAAAATGAAATAGCGTCGGCCTATCTGCTTTCGTAAAATCCATATTTCGCATTTTAGGACAAGCCACATATCATCAGTTTATCGTCTACTAAAATTTTTAAATTCGATTGTTTCGAGAACAAAGCATCGTCCGAAAAAATTGTATTCTTGTTTTTCGACTTACTTTCTCTCCTAGAATCATCACCTGTATGTTTGTAGTACCCGACTTGAGACATTCTGTGTACATGTGGTTTAAAAAAGGGTCTAAGCAGGGGTGGAAAAAGTAGCATTTGTGTGAAAGAGCTCCTATACTGGGATGAGAAGCGCTACTACTTTACGACCTACGCACAGTGGGGTATTTGATCCGAAAAGCTGGCCAAAACCCCAAATTTTATTTTTGTTCAAAATGAATGAAATTTGGTTTTTCGAAAACACCAGTATTTAGCAACAAATTGAGGCTTGAAAGTCAACAATTTTTGTATTCGAAGAAAATTCCAACAAACCCTTATTACGAAAGTGATTTATTACAAGTGTATTGTTAACGAAGTGCAATAACAACATATGTAGGACATAGAGGAAGGTATGTAGAGTAATTTGACACCTGTTTCCTTCACTTTTTTGTGTGATTTGATAAAATAACAATTTGAAAACAGTGTTTTTTTTTCGTAAAATCAAGTATAAAATATTGAATTACTTTTTTGCACCCCAAAAGCACCCCTTTACTTTTGATATATTTTTATCCTTGGAAATTGCTCTATATATTTCTTGAAAAATTAGGTGCTAAGAGGTGCTAAAACTACAGTTCTGTTCAAAAGTAGCACCTCACTTGTGCACTAGTGAAAAATGATTGAGATTCAATGTTCTATAACTTTGTTAATATTCGTCATCATTTGTTTAAATGAAAGGCAAGTTAAAGCTTGAACTTTCTACTTTTTGATCCTTCCATTCGATTTTATTTAACTCGGTGCGCAAGAGGTAAAATCTTCCCTTATAAAGAGGACCTTCAAATGGTAACATTTTGTTCATATTTAAGAACGGATGTTCCTCATAGACAACAGTGTTCGGAATTTCGCATGTATTTCAGAAATAATGATTCTTTGCCTTCAAAACAAGCCAAACTGCATCCAAAACAGATGATTTTTAACGAAGTTATGGCCATTTATAGAAACGCCTGCCTTTTTATGGTTTCATGTCTTTCGTGCATGGCACCGTTCAATGGTGTGCGTTTCTGTAAAGGACTATAACTTCGTTGAAAAACATCCATTTTGGATGCAGTTTAACTTGTTATGAAGGCAAAGGATCATACGATTGGCGTATATCGTATGGTTGATCTGATGATGGGGTAGTTGAGGTGTGGATGATAGATCCATGAAGAATAGATATATCATAAGCAAGAAATACTGTCTGATGAAGAATCTTGCAAAGCATTTTCTGACGAAAATTACTTCTATTATATATTGCAAATAAAAATATTCTTAAAATATATATTATTTTATATATTATATACCATAAATCAGAATGTTTATGATCGTAGATACAATCGACCCGCGTACATCCATCGCTGTCAGTTGATTGTTAGTTGTCAGTTAATCTATTGTAAAGTTCGTCTGTCAATTCCTGACGATTGAAGTTTTTAGTATGTTATTAACTTTATTAGCACTTTCCGGCGGTATATATCAAAATTGCAAAAAAACATTGCACTCCGTAGCACTTGACGAACATCAAGGAAAAGCACAGTTTGGCACACTCCTAGTTAAGGGTGAATTTTACCCTCCAGATAACCATTTTACTAAAATTGATTTAAGGGGCCATGCTCAGTCAGAAATTTTCAAAAAATCGATTTTCTTTAAGTACAACATATCCAGAATATTCTGTGCAAGTTTCAAGGTAATCCAATTAAAAATGACAGAGTTACAGGAGTTAACAAATGATCATTTTATATGAGTGTAAACTTGACTTGAAACTTTAACTGCGTTTTTCTCGAAACTACATTTTTCAAATCGGTGATCAATATTTCTCGAAAACTACTCTGTCGATTTACATGAAACCTTTTGCGCCTTATTACAAATCAGAAAAACTTGTCCTTGAACGAAGGATTTTTTTTCGTTCCATACTTTTTTTTTAATTGACCAAAAACGAGTGATTTTAAAAAATTTTAACTTTTACTCTTTATTATTATTTGATAAAGATAATATTTCAGACTCTGATTAATGTATTGATTTGTTTCATCATGTTTAATTATAATTAATTTGCAAATGCATTAACGTGTATATGTATGGAATACATGCAAAAATGTATTATTCATTTATAATGTGTAAATTTATTATAACATCTTTACATCTTTTTTGCAATACCATTCATTTAAAAAATTGAATATGTACACCAAATTAATAAGAAATAACAACTAATAAAGAAAAATATAATAGAGTTAAATACCAAATTAATGCTGCACCAAGCAATAGTGGTGTTGGTAGTGGAGTAAATACTACTGTAAGCGGTTGTAGTACCGCTTCACAGATTGGCATTTACAGGGGGTAGCGGGTATCAGAAAATAACCGATGGTAGGTACTTTGAGCGCTTCTGTTATTGAAGCGATTTCATGATTCGAACCCTAAACTGATTGTGAGTGGCGCTACCGTTTAAAGACCGCTTACATACCGCTTCTCAACGAGCGCTTCGTTCCTTTTTCCATCCCTGGGTCTAAGACGTTAAGGGCTTATAGTACTCGCCGAGTAGAGTAAAAAATGTCTAATCAACGTAGATCATAAAATAAATCTTTTCGATATAAAATCAAATATATTAGTTCAAAGTTGTACAATGATATCCAGCAATATGAAATAAGGAAGGAATATTTGAAAATGTACATTGATCTATGATCCACAGATGTGAGTTTTGTGTTGAAATGAAAAGAAGGCATACGGAATATCTGTAATAAATGTGAAAACAAACATTCATATTTTTCCATGAACATGTTGAATTTAGGACATTAGTTTGTTAGAAATTTCTTGAACACCCTGTATATCACACCCATTTACATTTTTAATTGTTTTCTATTATAAATGTGACTATTCGTAACATAAGTAATATACAGGGTATTTCACCTAACTTGACCACCTTAAATATATCGTTTATTTTGTATGATAGAAAAAATATCAGGGGAGAAAAATATTCTGTTCGAAGGCGCCAATACGGTGATGGGCCGAATTTTTTTCTCAAGGTCGTTTTTTTCGAGATTTCAAGGTCATCGAATTTTTTTTAAATGGGACTACATATTTTCACTACAATACTCTTATAGCATATAAAAAAACAAATCCAACGTGGTGCAATATGTTAACCTTCACGTGACCTTTAGCGAAAAAATCATGAAATGTTTGTCAGTAAGCTCAGTACGCGTTCGGGGACGGTAAATGAAGGAATTTCAATTTCATTGCAACAGTTTTTAGTTAAATCTTTATTTTAGAAGGTGTTCAAAATGTGCACCATGAACCTGGATACATTTTTGGAGGCGGTAAATAAATACTTGCTGTACATTTTTAAGTTGCTCTGCAGTAATTGATCTACATTCATGTAGAACCCTTTGTCGCATGTTTTCTGCTGTTGTGGGAACATCATTGTAAACTTTACTTTTTAGGTGTCCCCACAGAAAGAAATCAAGTGGCTTACCTTAACCCTAAGATTTACTTTGATAATAATGCTTGTAAACATACTTCAGCCGATGAAAGGAGAATACGAATGTCTGTTTACAAGCACAAGGGACAATTACACGGTACACTGTTCCAATGAAATCGAAATTCCTTCATTTACCGTCCCCGAACGCGTACTGAGCTTACTGACAAACATTTCATGATTTTTTCGCTAAAGGTCACGTGAAGGTCAACATATTGCACCACGTTGGATTTGTTTTTCTATATGCTATAAGAGTGTTGTAGTGAAAATATGTAGTCCCATTTAAAAAAAATTCAAAGCAACAACAAAAAGATACCTTTTCTCACCAGTAAACTGAAAAAACTTGTGCATTAATGGTTAATACGTTATTACTGCAAAATAAGAACACATCGAACACGGTGTCATAAGACACATTTTGTTCTACATGCGATCTACTAGACACCCCTAAAAATATTCTAATCTGTATCCAGAATAACCTACAGTTTTCTCAAAACGCTCATCAATCATTACACCTGTCTGGCGAACACCCTTGCGCCAGAAAACACCGAATCATCCTACCGAATAAACCAGCGGATCTCGCCTACCTTGAGTACTTTAACCACTTCCTGCGGGAACTGCATCATCGCGGTGCTGGTGACCCGCCTGTAAATCCGATCGACGAAAATCCCCGCCCTAATAGCATGAGCAACCGAACGGAACTTTGGCTTCTCATCCGCCTTCCGTCTGGTGGTCGCGAGCTGCCTGGTGAAGGTCGACGCGAGCCATTCCCGCACTTCCGGCGGCACTGCGTCCGGTTGCACCTCGGACAGTTCATCGTCTTCGTCGGCCAGCCGCCTAAGAAAAATTGGATCGTTATACGTTCGTGGTTCAGTTAGACACGTGCGTGAAACGTTGGATCACTGGATGATAATCCCTACCTTCGCTACGCATTACAGAGAACAGAGTACGGTTACATTCCGCTAATTGTTTCTCACCCTTTCTGTTTCTTTGCTTTTTTACTTCGTAACGAGCACAACAGAAAAACACACATCATGGATCGCTAGAGACTACGTACTAATTTGTTTTTTTTCTTTTTGGTTTCTTAGTATGAATCAAACGGGTCATGAATGAAGAAGCAAATGGTCTTTTGGTTTGCTCGTCGTTGATTATTGCCTATCGATTTCTTAGTTTTGGGTCATCTCCATCGAAGGTGCTTCGAATGAAAAGTATTTGGAAACTTATTTCGGGAGTTCTGTGTGAAAACTATCGGTGATAAAATAGAATTCATTTTTTTTCTTCATTTTTTAGTGCTTCGTAGTCGAATTGTGGAGAAACAGATTTTTTCTTAATACGAATATCCCGTTTGGTTTTTTTTTAAATCATGATTGTAGAGCTATGCTACAAATTATATATGTTTAAATCACGATTGCAGGGTTTCTACTTGTTATGTTGTTTTTTTTCTACTGCTGTTTTTTTTCTGTGCGTGTAATTTATCGGTGATTTTGTCTGATGTAATAAAATATAATACGTTCTCGAATGTATTGAGGAGGAAAATGAAATAAAGAATCCTATATGTATTTTAGTTTCAATCAGTGACATGTCATCGTAGTTTTGCTAAGTAGTTAATTAAGTTAGTTTAAGTTCGTATGTTAGTATATTAGTTTCGTCTTATAACATATCTGATCTTATGAACATACACTCAATTTTAACGCGGATCAATATATTCTAAATAATATTTTTGAAGTTCCGTGTAAGATTAGAAGTATAGGATCCTTCAGTGTAAAAGAGGATTCTTCAATGATATAGTAAGGAAAAGATAATGGCTTTGAAGCGATGCAAGCAGACACACTATTTCTGCAACTGTAACAATAAATACTATCTCGCATAAGATGTACGCTAGAAATACTTTTGGTAAAGTAGCAGTAAAAATGTAATGTAAACAAAAAGATAAATAGATATCGAAAGGAATGTTTGTACAAATGGACGATCATTAGTTCAAACATCGATTGCATTAGGAATCAAACCTTCATATTAATATTTGATTTCACGGTAGACTAGTTTTCTTCAATGTCAAAAGTGATGAGTATTGTTACAGGTTTTATGAAGTCGAAAAAGATATCTAGGATGTCTAACAATAAGTGCGAATAATGTAGAGTTCACGGGGTTAGTGAGGGAACTTGCCAAGGAAATAGAACGCTGAACACAGAAGAGATGAGTTTTATCTTCAAGTGCATTTGTATCCGTTAGAAGCTAATGAGAATAATAAAATAGAAATTATGGAAAATAATTCTTTATTGCGTTCAACAAATCTGAACGTCAAGTGTTACTTTTAGATTCTAATGAATAAGTATTTCGTTTGCTCTGGAGAAAATTATGTCGTGAGAGCCGATTCACATTTTTATTCAAACTCAATAGAGTCGAACCTCTATTATTTGAATTGCAAGGAAACATCATTTTTACAAGAACTTTTGGAAAATAACACTCCCACTCTCTTGGGGTCGATTATTGCATACTTTAAACCACATAGCAATCAATACATACTAACAAACATATAGTATCGAGAACTGATTTTGATAAAATTATGTCTTCGAAACATGGTTTCTATTAAACATATGTGTTGGTGTTGAAGTTATTTGTACTTGAGCCACTAGCAAGTTTTGGAACCTTATATTATAGGTCCAAGATTCTTAATAAAGACATCTTTTATATTGTATTTCAAATTATTACAACATATCTCATTTTCACAATCAGTATTCTGTATTCATAAGTTAACATTACTTTTACGCGCGAATACGTGTATTTTTAGCATGATATTACCGTATAGTACTATGTTGTTATATTAAGAATAAAATAAAATAAAATTAACAATACATCCTGTCTAAATCATATAGCGTTTCAACAATACAGAATTTAAATAAGTTTCTTTTACAATATTTGTAAATAATGTATTTTGATATGAAATTTATGGATTGTAATTTTTGTAAGGGACATTTTCTATTTAATCTATAAATTTACTGTAAGCTGCAACAGCGAACTGTAATTAATGTTTGGAGAAGATTAAGCGAGCAAAAAAGCATCTTCTCTGTCCAGACATTCAAATAATCGATTATTTTGAAAAATCAATACACGATATCGGTTAGCTTCTTTTCAGACTGGAAGCTCGGCGAAGAGAAATCCGAAGAAAATCTTCCGTGAATCGACATTTCAAAAGTATAGAATGCCAACGCATTGAATGTCAGATAATATGTTATCGACGAGTAAAAAAAAAGTAATCTCTCTGAATCAAGCGTTTCATTTTTTAGAGTGCCGATTCCTATTACATTTACATCCAATTGACGGAAAAGTTTAAACACTGAATAAATACGAGCGTTCTTGTTGGTAAATGGAGACAATGGAACAATCTTTTTTTTTATAACAATCGTTACAATAATTACAAAAAGATTAATTGTTTTAACACGAATATGCCGACACACAGTAGGTGAAATCAATCATTCGGTTAAATATCGAATTATTAATTATATTATTTTTATTATAGAGGGAATTGAACATTAGGGGAAGTATTACTAAAACAGAGGTTACTGAACATATTTATTTCAATATGCAATAATTGCTATCAGCTGGAACATATGTACATGCGTGAATTGCTTAATCAAAAAGAAATAACTGTTTAGAAATATGATTGATAACTAGACTGCGGATTTTTATGCAAAATGACATTCTATAAAGTAATTTATTAAGACAGAAGCAAATGTTGGAACTTCTTTTCTCTCTTAAGTATCTTATTGGGTTCATAATAAACCAAAAAACCTGTTGTATCTGATGTAAGTTTTGTCCTTTAGTGGATTTCGCAGAGCCCTATAGGCTATACATATATGCATAAAACCCGCAGTCTATTGATAACTTTAACATAAACACATGTATTCGTGATTAATGTGTATGTGTATTTACAAGAAGTTTGGAATAGTGTAGAAAATTTGTGTTTAGTAGTGATTAATGTTCCATGCGGAATATGTGATAGGGATTTTAGGATTATTTTACTAAGCAACGCGAGACTGTTACATTACACTATTAAATAATAACACATTACTCTTAACATTCGTCACATAACAGTACAAAGTGTTATATAGTGCCTATAATAACAAATTTACAGTGTGTTATTCGAAGCACAGGTTGATTTAATGTATGTAGATACACATCGTGATGGAAAATATTACTTTCTTTTCATAATGGAGTTACAATCTCCAATACTACTTGCTCTTTCGGTATTCATTTAATATAGAAATATATTATCGTTAAAAAGAACTTTTATTAAAAAATAATCATAATCGAGGTTATTTAACGATTACGTCATAACAAATACTATTTCCATGAAAGAAATAATTCTTTTTCCACATATTTAGTATGCTTATACTACATAGAGCAACTGTATTGCTTTGTATTACTTTATTTTTATTCCAGTGCATTTCCTGTAATAAAGTGTTTAAGGCTGGATAATGTCATACCGTAAATCAACTTTAAAATGTAGAATGTACTTGAAATTGTAGCATACATGTAGGATATAGGAGACATGACATACAGGACTATTTTCAGAAAAATAATTTTTAAGGCCTGTCGAATGCACACGAATATTTCGACAAGTCTAATAATATTCTGAAGCAGTATAGGGTATACTTGTGCGTAACAGGTACAAGACAATTTGATAGGTATCACTTCCTGACAATTCATCTAAACATTTTCCGCACTGTACCTAACAACTACGATATTTAAACACTAAATTCAGTGAAAATTAGGTTTCTAAAATGAGCAATTTTTATAGCACCATTCATTAAAAAACATGAAGTCTCTGAAAGAAGAATTTTTTGATTGCTAGTATCACTTTATTTAAAATATTCACCTGCCTCTTCTACTAATAGATATTCGTTATACATTTTAGAACCAAAAGTCCAGTATGTATTTGCTTTTTTATTTACAATTCACTGATTCTCTTATGCATAATATTTACAAAAAAAAACCAATAAATGAAGTGGCCAATTCAAGTTCAAATACATACTTCCAATGAATTTGTTCATTATGTCGAGGTATAATAATTTTCCTAATTCCGGTGTCAAAAGAAAATCATTTGAATAAATGTTCCAAATAAATCTCAAGGATAATATCACTAACATTGCTCATTGTCGTAATTATTTCATAGCAAATAACAATTTTAGACTTTATTAGTTGACCAAATATTCGTTAAAGAAAACGACTTGAATACTTGAGAGACATTTGTCACGTCATGTGCATCCTAAATTTTGAAACGCCCTATGCTCATCGACCCGTTGCAAAACGTGTCACTGCGGTGAAGATTTTCCCAATACCTATGAACACCGCCGAAAAATTCAATTTTCCTATCGTTAAAAAACAAAGAGAAATAGAACAGTCTCGCGTTGTTGTTCAACGCTACACATCTGTGTCGCGAATCCCAGAAACACGATCATTCCATGGAGAGAAGCAGAGGGGAACGATAAAGGGGAAACAGCGTTTTGGGCCGGCTGGGGGCGATTGTAGGAACGTGACGAGATTTGTGGTGGTGTTATTCAAACATTTGAACGAACCTACGGCGTACACCTTGACGGCAAGTAGCGGCTGACTCCAGACGCTCGGCGCCTCTATAATCCCAAACATCAAGAAAAGAGTGTGTCACATTAACGATAGATCACATCGACAGTGCTGTATCTAAAGCGAGAAATGGCCTGCCTGCGTGTACAAAATGTTCGGCCGACTCGAAAACGAGAGGAGTGACAAGAAACGTTTTCGGGATCTGGTATTTTCTCGTGTTTCTTTCATTTTTTTTTTGTTTGGTCGAGTCACCGTTTCTCACTAGCAGTCTCTTTTACAGTTTCGCGACTCGATGACGTCAGTGGCGTTCAAGCATTCCTTGTATGTAACGCCTTGTTCCGCGGCAACGTGACTTTTTGTTCAGCGCACATCCTATAAGCATGCACTTGGTTGATAGACGGATGCGAGGAAACACAGAGAAATAGGGGGAAGTCGATTTTTAAGAGATGCATACAGCTGGTAAACAGGCAGTCATCCAAGAAGTGAGCAGGTTACACCTAGAAAGATCTAAAAAGAGGCTAGAATAGGGGGGAAGAGATAGGCCAGGCAGGTCAAGATAATCATCATGCTGTGTCTGAATGTGTATGGCGTACGACAGACCCAGATCGTTTGTTTTTATCGTACGATATTTCTTATTCTTTTAGGGTCTGTCGAGTTTTCATAGACTCTCGAGGCATTGCTTTGTATCGTAAATATTTTCATTGAAATCGTTGACAGTCAAGCAACAAAGTGGATTTGTAGATTGATTTGTTATTGAATTTGTGAAATTGATCGTTTCTTTGTATTAGAATGTCAGAGTGCTTTATATGAGGGTAGGTAGTCCTGTTGGTATTCATTTATAAATGTATAAAAATGAATCTTCGTTTATGTTTGTTTTGGCTACGGAATTTGGTAATGATTTTGATCGCTACTGTCACTATGCACAGTTTCGTCCGTAATCGTGGAATCATTAGTAACAATCGTGCACTATAACCATGTGCAAATTGTTAGAACAGAACGAAAGTCTCGGGAGATACTATAGAGTATACTAACGATCGATATACACAGCGTGTTCTACAAGATGTATTAATTCCTGTGCATTTAAGTCTACGGCTACGTTTGGTTAAGGCTAAAGAGCTACAGTATTGACAAGAAGAAAACGTATTATAACTTTGCGACAAATTGTGACTTAAGCTGGTATTATAGTCGAGAGAGCGAAAATGTCAGTTGCAATTATCATTAGATTTTTCATATGTAAATAATACTAAATGCTGGATTATACACAATTATTTGTCACCTTATTCTGGATTAACTCTTCGCAATTATGTTTCTTAAATTAAACAATCAAAGTAATTATTCATGAATTGTTTAATATATCTTTCTTATTCAGTTACATTTGCAATGTATTCGGTAAAATTCAAAATATAAATACTTCTTACAATAAATCATTTAATCAGAATATATTTAAAACTTTTTGACGATCCGATGTAACATAAACGTGAACAAAATTTTTCCTGATGAAACTTCATTCTCACTTATGTAAAATTTATTATTAACAGCAAGTGTGTATAGATTATTTTCCAGTATGTATTAAAACGTTACTTAGTATTTATTATACTTTAGCATGTAGAAAGTGTCTATTAAAATATGACATTTTTTACTTCGTGGCAGTCATTCATTCCTCAGTTTCGTTATTTAATTTATTATCTAAAAATTTTAAACTTACTGTTTTTGTATATTTCCTGTATAAAAAAACATCTCTTTATATTTTCTAACTTTTCAATTTGTAAATTTATTTCCCTGCACAATTTACAATTTCTGAAACACTAGCGTATAAAAGAAATTTCATATAAAGATAATTACTTTAACGTGATGATTTATTTACAACAAAATACTTCATGAACTCTGTCATTTCCAAAGCAGGTAATGTACTTCTCGTTTGTTTTGTCTCATGTATTGTAAATTTAGGAATTTTGCGATTTTCTGTGAGAATTCCCGTACAGAAAACACATACGTTTAACGCACCAATGAATGAACACTTACGAGATTTTATAACTACTAAAGCCAAATTTTAAATGATAATAGTATAAATAAATATTTGGTACAAGAAAATTACATTTCTTGGTACTGATACCTTTTTATGACATATAGACTTTAATTTGAAAAATTGTAAAAATCTAATTAATTAAATTAAAAAGAAGAAATACAGATTTCAGGAGTAAACGAAAATTTCTAACCAGTGGCGTGAAAATAGTTTGAATATGAAACAAGGAATTGAAAAATATCAATATTTAATCATTTGCTTATTTTAATATCTTAATTTAGTCGGTTTTATATGTAATGTTCATTTACTGATACATACACCATGTAATTCTCAAAAAACGCATTCCCGTTTTCTTTATTACAATTGTACAAATAAGAATATATATTTCTATAATTTCTATAACGAACAAAATTTTTTCTTCATATTTTATGCAATCAGCGAAAACGGACATAAGTATACAAGACACGTCAAACAATTCATGAATACGTATCCCCCAACATCCAAAAGAGAATTCATCCGAAAAACATCAGTGAAAAAGCTGCCCAACGTAGCAAGCTACTAAACAGAACATCCATATTCGTCCGAGGGTATCACTTCCGCGTCAGCTTTTCGCTCTCTGCCGCGAACGTATCCATTTTTCACTCTCAATTCCGTCGAATCGTGTCGAAACCCTCGGCTCGATGTTTAGCGAATGGGAGAAAAATAAGGTTCGATTCCCTGATACACAATGATCGAGCAAACGACGCATGACCATGTGTGTGCCTAGGCGGGCGATGATAGAGACGGAAGACGTGTTGAACGGTCGGGGTCGGGTGGGGAACGAAGAGTATTGGAACGGAGAATGTGTCGAGGGGGCTTGGGTATTTCTGGTCTGGGTGGAAGTAACAGTCGCGTTAAGGTCGGAAATGTGAATATTTCGCAACCTTGCCCATACGGGGGTGCGAAGCTTCCGTTTCTGGGTTACCACCGCCTGGCCCTGTGGTCCGTCCGGGTCCAAGACGCTTCCCTGGGATGTAGATGACAGGCTCACACCCCTACCGGACGACCGAGAGCACTCAATCCCGCCTGAATTCACCCTGCGATACTGCTTGTTAGTGCACGTGTCAAGTAGAAAACAGAACAGTAGAACATTACATTTCCATTATCATTAATCACTAACATTATCGCATCAACACACAGATTTCCGTGATCTCGGCTGACTGGGCTGGGGTCTCGCGGTTTGGTGTCTGCGCATCGCTCGGGCTAATTTGAGGTTAAACAGTCCTGTCACGTTTTAACACTGAAAAGTATGGCTTACACCTAGATAGATCGAGCGAACTGGGTTTGGGTGTTTTAATTGAATTCGCGCGAGCCACGCTTCTGGAACATTTCTGAAAAGCAATTTAAATTGTGTAAGAAGACGCGATGCATTTTGATTCGTTTGTCTGTATGATAGCGGTTGCTGTGGTTGACAGTTGTAGTCGATCGCTGCTCCGTTTTCAGGAGTTACGTGAATGAAAATAATTGGTTAATTTATAGATGATTACTTTTAGTATTATCTCGCCGCCGTTATGATAGCATACAGAAGGGAAGATTCTACTGCATGAGAAGGAACATCAGAATTTCAGTTTTTTTTTTCAGATCTGGTGACGGTTGGTGTCGTTAGTTGTACTCGGTAAACAGTATTCCTGATTCATGGTAAATTTTCAACCAACACTGCCACCCTCGTTTTATCAATTTTGACATTAAAAAAAAACTGTGAAAAAAGTTATGAAACGGAAATAGCGGACGTGTAATGTATAATAGATACATTAATCCTACATTCTGTCGTTTCAATAAATTAATTCTGCAACGCAAATAAGTGATATTACTTAATTGTACCATTACTTTATATTTTTTGCAGTATATAAAAATCAATAAATTTATTTTACTGCATAATGACACAATTGATAATCTTTAAAAACGTCGCGCTTCAAGCTGTCCATGTATGTACATGTACTCTATAAGTCATTGGAATGACCATTAAATCTACATTAAATGACAATATAAATAATCCTGAAATTTGTAATTGTTCAATATTAAATATTGTTTGCAAAATAGAAGCATATATTGAAGCAAAAAAAAAGTAAAAATTCACGTTGCCTCCTGTGAGGATTGAACTCACGACCCCTGGTTTACGAGACCAGTGCTCTACCACTGAGCTAAAGAGGCGTTCTTGATGATTGTAAGATTCAAATCAGAGGTCGTGATAAAATTCGAGATAAACTTTACAAAACTCTCTATATACATTAATCTTGCATACTTTGCATAACAATTATATTACAAAAGGTTAATAATTTCCGCGAAATACTAAAAACAAAATCTTACGGTGTCTTTTCGTGCTTCCAAGAGCCGTGAGCCCTATACAAGTTTATTATTAGCATATGGTCATTAATTAAGTAACAATAATAACGGCAACAATATTTAATAATAATAGTAACTGTATTATTCTAATAAATAAATGTGTCACTTATATGTTAAAAGTATTTCAGTTTTAGTCTATCTACGTTCCGAAATAGGTGCTACAAAATATTAAGCAAATATTTTTACAATGTAACGGATAATGGATAGTGAATGCGGTTTATTTTCTAAATAGGATTGTGTATCAGGTAAAAAATTAGTATTCAGCTCTCCGTGCGTGGCTATAATAGAAATATCTGACAGAACGTTATTTAAGACGCTAAACATTCATGTTAATCTGTGTTTTGAACAGAACTTACTTGGTTTCATCTAGGAAAACGGCTTCAAGCACACGTGCCGCATAGTGCAAGTTTCGTTGGAGCAATTCTGCGGATATTTCGCCATGCTGAAGCTGCCTCAGTAAACATCTCAATCTGTAACAAAAAGTATCATTTTATTTTTCGTTTTTGTGCAGTACAATGAAAATTCTTCCTATTAAATTAATATTACCATTATGCTGAAAAATAGTATTATCCTACGCTACAATTTACGGAAAACCACGTTATGTTAGACCAAAACATAATAATTTATTTCAAAATAATTTTTTTTTTCAATGATTATTTTATATAACATAGCTACTAGTTTAGAACTCTTAACTCAGCGTTTCATATTGTACTGTAAAAATAAAAAGAAAAGGGAACGGTATTTGTTTAACTTATTTGGATAAAAGATCTTTTCCTTCGAAGCTGAATAATAATATAATTCTGGAACAAATTACTTCCTTTTCAAGGAAAGCAACAATGTATAATACAATAGTGTATTCCTTGTTCCACCAAAGCAAAATAATAATTTAATGCATTTCTTCGCATATTAAGTTTTGTAATTTCAGAATTACAAACAACTACGTAACTGCGTAATTGAAATTGCTAATGTATTGATTTTTACAATTAAATAATAATGTAGAAGTTTCACAAAAAATTATCATTAATAACTCTCTTATTACAGTGTCTGATAGTGAATTTAAAACTTATCGCAAGTGAATAATACATCTATAATTGAAGTTTGTCTTTTTAAGTCTTTTTATAACTTTATGAACTGCAGTTTTGAAGGCATTGTCTTATGTTTAGTTTATAGTTTACAACAAAACAAACAGTTAAATCATTTTTATAATATTTTTTTCTCAAATAATGTTACTTCATTTTTGCTTTTTGTACATTAATCCTGTTATGAATTCGAATACAATTTGAAATTGTACAACGAAACATGTGAACGTAATTTGGAACGTAATTAATTTTCACAGTACCTACATGTGAAATGCACGTAAATGCATGGAAACACAGTATTCTATAATTATTATTCTCTATATTTATACGAATTAAATTGTAAGGTATTGGGTGTGAACAATTCTCGCTGTCGCAATATTCACTCATTTATTCGAAAAGTATTCTGTGCTCCAATAAATCCCACCGAGTGAAGCATCGCACATTACACTTCGCATAGTACAAAACTACTTGTGTTCTAGATTACGATGTTCTTGCTCCACACGATATATTAATAAATATCATTTATTAATGTTACCGCTTTAAGCGTTGACAAGCATAGTTTACGTAGCACTCTTAGCAGGTTCCCGCATGCATTTTAATAATATACATATATACAGGGTGAGGCACTTAAAACTGGCCACCTGAATAACTTGGCTGCTATTGGTGATAAGAAAAAATGCATCAGGCCAAAATTATTTAGTATCAAGGGGCTGATCATCCGATGTTACTAGTTTTTTGATAGGTGGAGGCGTCAAGGAGATATGAAGGTCATCTCTGTTTTTTTCAATGGAACGGTATGTTTTTTTACTTACATTCTGATCAAGTATTTCAAGACGAATACAATGACCTATTGGAGAGACCTGAGACGCTTTGAGATGCTCGCGATACGCCGTCTGTCGCGTGTTAAACGCGGAAAACAAAAAACGATGGCGATGCAATGCATTGTTTAGAATTGCTTTCACTATACAGCAGTGAAGAGCACAAACGTGAGTAAAAAATGTTTGATACCGAAAAAAATGACAAGAAAACGCGTGCGACACGCAGTGTGTGAAACGCCCGTAAACGCTTATCCAAAATCCTATTTCGGCGGAGAAAACGCCCGTGTAGTCCTGGTCTGGACCATTTAAAAAGTTTTTGCGTATTTCATAAGATGCACTTGTTGCGCAATTTTACGCGTTTCGCCTTTATTTACACCACTTCAGCGTTTGCCTTCTTTTGCGAGTGAATGGTCGATAGTTTTAGTTCCAACAATGAACACTGGTAAAATTGCACATAAAAGACTGTATGCTTTATGAATACAAGGCAGGATTAAATGTTGCATAGACTACTGCAAGCATTAACAAAGGGTACGACCCAAATGTAGTGAAAGTGAAAAAAATTGTCAATATCGGTTTTCGAGGTTAGAAAAAAAAAACGATCGGAAACTCTATGGACGCCAGTCGAATATCGACAGCAAATGTTCAAAGACTGCAATCGATAGCAGACCCATATCAATTTTGCAAAGAATTTACGAAGAAGAGGGAAATTACATTGATTAAGCTTATTTCTTTCGTAATAATGTTCGCACAAAAATACGTAAAGAATTCTGAAATAGCCTGATACATAAAATGGAAAGTGTTTAAAATATTACCTGAGGGCAGCTTTGTCGCAAGCATCAGGGGTGTCAACGGCAGGAAGCGTGTCTGTTGTCAAATCGACATTATCAAGGATCTCATCGAGATCGACGGATTGGCTTGACGAAAGAGTGTCGGGGCTGTGCGGTGGCGGGGATCCTTCGAAACTTCCGCCGATACTCTTATTCTTGCCGGAACTTCGGCGTACTATCGTCAGCGTGCCTTGTTCTGCAACACAAACAACACCGGAACATTAAGCCCGCCCCGTACTTAACGTGGAATCTAGGAAATTTCATGCCTCGATGGTCTCGTTAACGTGAGAAGTGTGGCTTTAAAAGCTCTTCCAGTGGACGAGACAGGAACACCTGCACCGTAAGGTTCTGAATTTTTCGCAACAGAAACAAAATATAAATATAAGTAGTTTTTGAAATGTTGGTTCACGAAAATCATTAGTACCAAGATTATTCATTTAAAGGGGAAGGACTTAACTGTCCGACTTTGGTTTTAACGGGATCTTGTAAAATTATAGTATACAGGTTCCTAATGGTATCACAGACCAGATATAAGAATAGACCTACCATGCAATGTAATTTTCTGTCCCATGCTTCGGGGGCGTCAGAAGCCCCCGTGCCATTTCAATATTCCATTTCTTGCTAGCGAAATTGGGGCAATAATGTACGTATGTATGTATCGCTATATACAGTCACAGGTGTGTGTGTGCTGTGCTTTACCACGGTGTCGAACGTAGTTCGTGAAATCGGAAACATTTATGTAGAGGTGCGCCCTAACCAGCATGATTTCGTGGGACACCAAGTCCCATAAGATGTTAGGTCTATTCTTATAACTCGTCTGTGATGGTATATGGGAAATATTCGGTGTAGACAGTCGATAATTTAGGTTTTGTTAACTCTCCGTGACCTCCGTCATTTTTGTTGCTCCCATCACCCCCTGTACTTTTTATGTCCGTCCAGGCCTATTTTTTATCGTATAGTCTTCCAAAATATCTGAAAAAAAGTCAAGAATACTGACCAGGGTCTTTGCTATGTACATGATTTAGTAGTTTTCAAAGATGAATGTTAAAAGTTGCTTTCTGAAAGCGCGAAAATTCATTTGTGCCATACCTAGAAGACACAGAGGGATCACGGAGGGTTAAGAAACGTATGTTGTTTAATTGTGTTACAGTAACAAAATTGTAAAGTGGAAGAAATATTTCGGTGAACGGGAGAATCGATCCCAGAACCTCCAATTGACCAGTCAAACAACCGTCTCACTTTGCCAACGCAACTTCAATAATTTCGATTTACAGTCCTAGTATACCTTATCGTTAATTTTTTATATCCTTATCGTTAATTTTTTATATCCTTAGATATCGAGCATCTACGCCTATCATAAAAATTCATTGATTTTGTCTTAAAGGCATCGACTTGACGGATCATGGCTCGTTATTACAAGTTATTATTTGCAAAATCCCGCGTCGAAAATGTTGAAGTAGAACTAAAAGTATCCCATTGAAATTTTTATACATAGGATTTAATGGTATTTTAAGTTTCCAAAACAAGAAAACCTATTAAACTTTCTTTGTTCGCTTAAGGGGGGAGACTCCTTCGGGGCCAACTCCGAATCGATCGAAGCGCTGATGTAAACAATCGGACTCTAGCAGAAACACATAATCGATATTTGGGACGGCTTGATAATACGACATCTAACGGCAGTATCTACAAATAAATTTTGTTCCCCGTTACCATCAAGTTGGGTTTGTGTATTTGCTACGCGAAGACAGTGTTGCTTGACAGTATCGATTTTTGACAATTCTGCCCATCAGGAGAACAACGGAATACCTACAACTCGCGGCGAAATTTCGATTCTCGCCGAACGTAGGAAAAGAATGGCCAAAGTTACTGACTAATCCCATAAACGTCTGTACCGGAGAATCCTTGAACTATACCACTGTTTATTCCTGAGTGTGGACGCGTCGAATTGTAAATACAAATTTCTGTCTTCCAGGAGTGATGAATTGGCAAAAATCGAATTTCTATGATAGTGTGATGGTGGTGTGCCGGGTGGTCTGGTCTGCTTTTGACGAGAAAACCATTAAATCGTGAGATATTAGACAAAATGTGACTTGAGCAGCCATCTTGTGTGTTTTCATCGGCGTCTGTCACAATCGCACACTTCCTAAAATTCTAATTCTTTTAACGTATGGTGTTTATTGGTGTTTATACGGATCAGACCACCCTGTAGTGAAGTCTACCCATAAGTTCTATATCCGTGAAAAGTTCATTTGTGCAATTATTGAGACAGAAGTTGGAATTACGAAATCGATTGTCTCTCTCGTGCATCGCGTATACATACATGGTTCCCGTTGTTGTGTGAGCGTACGGATACAGCTCACGGACCACGGAGTCTGTCCCCTTAAGTTCCATTTAGAGAAACTCATAAACCGTGAATTTAATTAAATTTTATTATTCGTCATTTAATCACAATTATTGGTGGCTGTAATGTTTACATTAATTATAATGCTTACTTGGTAGCTGGCCATTTCGACCAGGCGAGGTGGGATTGTGCGATCGAGGAGATGCTGTACCAGTGCAGCTCGTAGTTGCATTAACGTTCGGAGATGCACCGGGTGAGGACACTGTGATATCATCTTTCGTAACCCTGCGATCCGGCGGAGATGCAACTGCAATCAAAACAGGAAATAAATTAGTAACTTAATTCAATAATTTACCATGTTTGTTCATTGGCATGTGAAAAGTATTATTCAAGTGATCTTAAAGATATTTAAATGTATAATACAGTTAATTATTAATTTGTAGTACTAAACACCAATTTGGTTTACACCAAGCAAAAGAATTAAAATACAGCGAACTACCCTCTGTTTGACTTAAATATTTAACTCTTTATGTACGGTACTTTATATTTCACTGAAAAGCATTTAACAATACATAATTGTTAATATTGTATTACTGTTCAAATAAATTGCATTATATTTAACTTAATCGATGAATTGCTTTACGACACTAAAATATGTACATTTATTTTTATATTATACCTGTACAAAACTTTCGCTTAAACGGTACTGAATTGTTTTAGGTATAAGTTTCCTATTAATTTTTCTAACATTTTTAAAACTATTTCTAGTAACGTGTTACCTAAATCGGTTTAGTTCATTAATGGCATTGTATTTTCTCTTTTCAAATTTTCGATCCAAAAAAGGAATATACATACATATGTTAATATATTGTATATTAACTTTTCTGAATGTTTCTTTTTCGATACCATTTCATATATGTAGGATGTAATAGAAATAGTTAGACAACCTTTAAAAGCGTGCTCCACTTATTTCAAGAAAAAAGAAGGTCCTAAATACAGGCTGAGAAATTTTTTCTGTTCGAAATACATATTATTCGCGATGAAATTTACTTCAGTGAATTTCTTGTTATTGAGACGTGTAAAAATTCTGATTTGGTATACTCCTCCATTTACGCTGAAAATTCGCTGAAACTGTGTTAAATGCTTGTGTCTCGAAATTCGAAATGTCTTGAAAAATTTTAAACACATTCGACCTTGCATGAGTAGTTACAAAATAATATTCAATAATTATATATAAAATTCTTCTATCCTTAAAGTGAGTAGAATACGTTCCCCAAATTCCTCCATTTTTTTTGTTACACCCCCTATAAGAGGTAAGTCTACGTAAACTTATATAAAATTAAATTACTGTCCTATTTCGATTTTTAGACATATTAGTAGAAATTTTAAATTTGCCTAAACTTGCGCGGGTTTGGTGACGGTGACGTCACAGAAATGGATCACGAAAAATATTGCGTTCTATATTTCCGTGTCTGTTGTTGAAAGCTGCACTTGCCATGAGCGACGTGTCTGGAAATTATTCAGGATTATAATTGATGAGAATATCGTCGAGATAATCAGCGTCGGTTAAGTATGTATAAGCGTAATTCAAAGTGTAGAGCATCTCTTCTTGAGGACACAAAGCCTCGAAATAATTACTCTAATTGACTGATCAAACGACAAAGGCGTAAAACATCTGGTCTGTGCAGTGGAAAGTAAACGGAAGAGCTATCGATTCGCGCTATATGTATGTATGTCTGCGGATTACAAATTAGGCCCACAATTCCATTAATTGAGCTCGAAATATGATATTATCGGACTGAATTAATACCTCACACTTGGAATTGTGTTTATATCACGTAGTGAGACAATATTATCATACACCCAAAAACAATTTCAACGTTTATTAACATTCGTTTTATCTTGATTAGAAAATTTACATTTTTTGATCAAGGAGAACCTATTAGACCGTAAATAACGTCTAGCGTCACTGTCACGTCAGATTGTAGCTATTTAATGTACTCTACAGAAAAAAGAAACATATACATCTACACCGCAAAGTGATATCACTTTACTGTTTAAGCTGCTGCATCATGCCATCAAGGAAATGAGATTCTAGAACTGTTTGCAGTCAACGTGGAGTGCATTAGAAGTTTTATTTGGTCACGTTTGCACTCGGTTGTGTTTAGGACACTAGAGAACTAATCAATCTAAGTGTTGTTGTTTTAAATCTTCTACAATGCTCTGGATGAACCGCAGTTCTTGTGTATTACATTTATTTATTATAAATTCTGAAAAAGAAAAGAAAATTTCAAAGTCAGTTTACTGAAGCTATCACGAAAAGAAAAGTTACTAAAGAGTATTACCTACTCAAGAAATTAATTTTTATTGCATACAGAGATCGGAGGGTGTTAAAGACGTAATGTATGGAGTAAAGTTTGGAACCTCGACTTGATTTATTAAGGAAGAAAAAGATTTTATTTAGATATTTCGTAATGTAATTTTTTTATATTTTAATATATTATGCAAATAATAAACAATAATGTTATAATTATTATTAATTGGAAAAAGTTTGTGTGGTTTTGTAGTTAAAATTTCAAGTAATTATAGCGTTCTGAAAACATAATTTAATCACGTCACACTATTTAATTTTTTAATTCTTCTATTAAGTTTTGTAGGCTTTTACATTCTATTATGTTCTTAAATCTTGAATATTAGTATAAATAAATGTTCATTGCAATATGCACTTGATTGCTATTTTCTTAATATTTGTTTATCAAAAAGTTTTATCCAAATTAATGTAAGTGGTAATTGCATGGGAACAGTTATAGATTATACATATGTTAGAAACTCGGATATTAATTGGTATCGATTTCGGTCATACACCCAGTGTGTACCTTTCACAGTCGTTATTTGATTACTAATCCTCGTACACGGGCGACGAGGAGCAAGCATCAAAGCCTTGTTGTTCTTCCCTGATTTTTAACGGTACAGACACTAGAGACTGATTCCTGTACGAGTTACCATTCATGCAGGCAGGATAGCCTGTACGAAGAAAGGAGAAGGCGCCATGTTTCGTTGACGGGAGCGCCGATTGGTTTGAAAACTGCCGTTGCGAATATAACTGATCGACACTTCAATTATGTAGAACCGTTCAATTAAAAACACGTAAGAGATCGTACTCATATTTGTTCGGAGGAAAAGTTAATTTACATTCTGCCGTAATCTGGCTATGTAGTTTTTAGAGATCTCGGTTTCACGTGTATCTAAATACACGTGTAGACGTGTAATCACTGTACCCGTGTTTCAGTCCGTGTAGTTTTTAATACATGGATACACGGTTACTGAAATACATGGGTACACGGGTATACGGGTAGTGAAATACACGGGTACATGGGTATTGAAATACACGGATACGAGCCATTCTACGTCAAAATGTACGGGGAATCGCGGTCATAGTCACCTACTTTTTTTCAAATTTACAGCATTTGTATCGACTATCTCTGCAATTGGTAGTTTTATCACGTATCGTAACAGGTAGAAAGGTATATGTACATTTTACATTACCTAAATTTGATTAATTCGGTAATTCATGGGAATCGAAGAACGTCAATTTGTACAGACATTTTAAGAAAGATACCGTGTTCTACAAATTTTAACTTTTCTTAAAGCCACTCATGTTCAATAGGCGTTTCTGGTAGGTCCCTGGTTCCAGTTTTTGAGAAATTTGATTTTGAAATAAATGAAAATTTTCGACTTTGAAGATGTTTTGTGCTTAAACAGTAATAGTTATTCGATTTCTATCGACCCCAAATTATTCTATGAACTCCCCTGAACGAAACGATGTAAGTTACTATTTCATTAAACAATCTTAAATATGTTTAGACAACGATCAAAATGAAAATAACACCCGAAACGCATCAATTTTCACGGATATTTTTTAATTAAATCGGAAAGCTCAAGCTGTAGGACAAAGTCTTTTGCATCACGCGAAAGAGCAGACATTTTTCCTAAGGAAATGGATTAAAACTAGGCTTAATTGATTAAACTGTATTCACCAAAATTATGTTATTTTTGATTGTTATTTGTAACCTACAAAATTATATATTTGTTTCTCAAATAACGTGCATACCCACATGTACTTAAATATTCAGTAATGTTGTTATGCATTAATAACACGAAATAAAATATGATATTTCAGACGTCGTCACATTTATTCCTTACGTTTGTGATCCTTTCCAGCAAAGAGCAATTTTCCTGTCATTTGTTCCCATCACGTTTTACTTTATCATACTAATAGGATGTTAATAGTTTTATTAAAATGTCTGTATATATTGACGTTCTTCGATTTCCATGAATTACCGAATTAATAAAATTTCGGTAGTGTAAAATGTACATATACCTTTCTACCTGTTACGATAGGTGATAAAACTACAAATCGCCGAGATAGTAAAATAAAATGCTTACAGTTTTCCGTGGGAAAACAATACAAATGTTATAAATTTGAAAAAAAGTGGGTTACTACATATCCTTACTTATATCCACGGGCGCGTATTATAACATTTTGTGCAAAAGCAAGTTTTTTAGTCGGTAGTTTGCTTAATCAAACGTTCTGTTGTATTTCTTACTTTTGTTATTAAACTCTCACTGTGCACAACAATCAAGATTATTCCCTTACTCTCGTTTGACATCCTAAATCCACCCAAGTCCGGAAAACGGTTAGAGTTGGGCTTTATTAATATTTGCACCGCGACGGTTACATCGCCGAGAATCTTCCACCTTTTCGAAGAATCGCGTGCGCTACTCCAGGTATTATTGGATAAAATTACATTTGATAAAATTTCCGTCATTATCTCTGTCTATATTACTTTATAGACTGTAAACATAAAGATTTCAATGTCATCAATAAGTATAATCAATTGTGGACTAACAATGCAACATCGAAACAAATAAAAAATGAAATTACTGTATGTATAGAAACTAGATAGAATAAACTTTGTATGAGTATTATTTATCGATTAAGAAGGAACAATTGAACTGAATTTACCATTAATAAGAAACTGTATAAAATTATTTCCTCTAGGTACGTACTAATAAAAATTAAAATGGTTCTTATACTTCTTCCATAAATCAGAATTTAATCAGGAATATTTGTACCTACATAACAACGCATCTGCAAAAATAATTGTACTTTTTTTTACCATTCCTTACAAATTAAGGTTGCACAAGGATAATATATTCTCTCTTCGATATAGAGGTCGAAAGAATAATTTCTTTTATGTTATAGATAATGGAATATGTAGTATAACAATGAAAAGTTAGTAACCATATTGCTTTACAAAACTTACAATTGAATAATAAAAATTCTATTTCGAATTCTTACGTATCC